GGATAACTCCATCCTTACTGTCTGCCACCCCCGGCTCCCTCCACATCGGCCCAGCACATTCCCCAGCTGTGGGCTTAGGGGTCGCAGGAATGAGCAGCCACTCCCCTGGCTCACACCGTGTTCTCTCCTTGTCCTGATCACACTGGTGATCTACCAGGGCTTCCAAAGACCCAGCCTGGCCAATGCCTTGTCACCCTGGTGGGGAGAAAAGGTGGGCAGCTGGTTTGTCCACCCTCTCCACCCTGCTTCTCTCTTTCTCAAACCGCCCGAGGCTCCCTTCTGCCTGCCACTTCTCTCCCCTCCCAGCACCCCACCCCATGTGCTCACTCAGTGCCTTGGGTGATGGGGATGGAGAGCTCCCCTCGTCACATCCCTGCATAGAGCACCCAGTTTCCTCTACTGGGTGTTCTCAGCCATCGCCTGTGCCTTTAAGAGCTGCCACCCTGTGTCAGGGACTTGACCTCAGCATCCTCAGCTGAGTTGGATTAAGGGACCATTTCATGCCTTTGTGAATTTCTTCTGGCTGCTGTCCCTTCCCCTACACAGAGACAGAGTAGCCCGTAGGCTGAACCACTTTACCAAAGACAGCCCAAGAGCTGGTCTAGCCTGGCAGCCTTTTCCCTCCGGTAGTAGAAGCTGCCCCTTTGATTGGGGGTTTGTGGTCAGAGAGTGGGCCCTTGGGGGTCTTGGACTATCACAGGAACTCTAGAAAGCCATGCAGAGCCTCGGGCCATGAAGGACTACTCAGATGTCATCCTCTATGTGGAGGCAACAGAGTCGAGCAAGGTAAGGGCCACATAGAATCGCGCTCCCAAGACCCAGCACCCCAGTGCTCACCGCTGCCCTCAGCCCTCAAGTCTCTCCCTTTCAGATCGAGTTCTGCAATCCTGCCTTCGAGCCTGAGTCTGGACCACCCTGCCCTCCCCCAGCCTTCCCAGAGGATGCCAGATACAGCGTCCCAGCTCCCTGGCACGGTAACCATCCCAGGGGGTAACATGGGGGAGGACAGAGAGGTCCAGGAGCGAAGGACAGCATGAGGAATGCCTAACAGAAGGGGCCCTCAAAATCCCACCTGCAGGTCGGCGCCCTCGAGGGCTGCAGCCAGACTGCCGCTTCTCCTGGCTCTGCGTGCTCCTGCTCGCTAGCTTGCTGCTCCTGCTGCTGGGGCTGCTGGTGGCCATCATCCTGGCCCGTAAGTACCCAGGGTCTGCTTGAAAGGAGGGCTTTGGAATACAACCCCATGAGCTGCTCTCCCAGCTTCCCAGGATCCTGCTCCTCTGAATGCCGCCGTCCATCTTCCCACCTTTAGAGCTGCAGGCTGCACCCCAATCCGGGACCTCCCATAGCACACTGCCTGCCGGAGGCCTTACCACCACCATCCCCACCATCACGAACTCCCAGGCAGCTGGGACCCCTAAAGGACAGCAGGAGGCAGGCGTGAGCCCCTCCCCACAGTCCAGTGAGTATTCAGGGCAGATCTTCTGGGAGAAGAGCCCAAGATGATGGGGTGGGAGTGAGGGGAGGGTGAGGAAGAGGCACCTTGGAGAATAAAGGACCTCTCTCCTTTTGACCTCTGAACTCTAACCTCCATCTCTGCAGCCTGTGGAGGCCTCCTCTCTGGCCCAAGGGGCTTCTTCAGCAGCCCTAACTACCCAGACCCTTACCCCCCCAACGCCCACTGCGTGTGGCATATCCAGGTAGCCACAGATCATGCAATCCAGCTCAAGATCGAAGCCCTCAGCATAGAAAGTGTGGCCTCTTGCCGTTTTGATCGCTTGGAAATCTCCCCTGAGCGTGAAAGCCCCCTCCTCAGGTATGTCTCTCTGTCCCCAGGACCGCCCACACTGTCCTGAACCACTATCTAAAGGGCTGAATTGGGGAGTGACAGTGGGAAGGGCTGACCCAGGAAGAAACTGAGAGACTGGACCTCTGGGCCCAGCTCTGCCACCACCTTGCTGTTTGCCATGAGGAAGATCACTTCCTCTCTCTGATCTGTTTCCTAACCTGTAACATGGAGCTCCTGCCTCTCTTCCCATGAGTAAATACTACAAGGATAAATGTGCAGGTGCTAGGAAGGTCAGAGCTCCCTGGGACATCAGAGGAGCCTTTTTGACTACATGGTCACCAGTTTGGGGATTGAGAAAATAGGACTGCAGGGCTGAGATGAGCTCCTCTCTGGCTGGCCCTGCTCTCAGAGCCCCCATCACCCCCAACCTGGCTTCTTGCAGGGTTTGTGGGAGGGTGCCTCCCCCCACGCTCAACACCAATGCCAGCCACCTCCAGGTGGCCTTCATCTCTGACAGCAGTGTGGAAGGATTTGGTTTCCATGCCTGGTACCAGGCTGTGGCCCCGGGGCATGGTGAGTGTGTTCCCACCATGGCCCCAGCTGCCTGTTGAGTGTCCACTTTCTTCCCCTCCACCCACTCCGAGCCCTGCCAAAGGGGAGGAGACTCTGGGCATCCCTGACTCCTGATGCCCACACCCAGGGAGCTGTGCCCATGATGAGTTCCACTGTGACCAGCTCATCTGCCTGCTGCCTGACTCAGTGTGTGATGGTTTTGCCAATTGCGCCGACAGCAGTGATGAAACCAATTGCAGTGCCAAGTTCTTGGGTACGGGGCAGGCATGGGGGGGTCCTCTCTTCAGGCATCTGATCTGGGTTCAAGCTGGGGCCTCCAGCTCTGGGTCAGCCTCAAACCAGGGCCTCCACCAGCATTTCCTGCTTGGTCATTCTTTGGCCCAGAACTTGTTTCCCGAGGGCTTGGCCAAAACTGGCTCTGTGATCACTGCTAGCGCTACTGGATGGAGGCACAGATCTAGCAAACTCATGAGCCCTTCCGCCTCTCTACAGGGTGTGGGGGGAATCTGACTGGGCTCCAGGGCACTTTCTCCACTCCTAGCTACCTGCAGCAGTACCCTCACCGGCAGGTAAGCACAGTGCTCCATGCAGAGGGGGAGGGGCACATGCGCCTGAGACCCCGAGTTAGTGTGATGGAAACAGCATGGTAGACATTACCTTGTACTTGGGAAGGTCAGAGATCAAGCAGACAGGAGACAGGGGAATATTATTGAGTGCCTACTGTGTACCCAGATGTTCCCATGCTGGGTTAACTCATCTCTGAAACCAGGTAAGTTAAAGGACCTTCCTCCCTTAAGAGCAACCAATGATGAAAGCGCCACCACACCCCCTCAAGCCTGCAGTGGGGAAGAAGCCTCTTCTGGAGCTCAGCCTGGGTGCCCAGGATGAGACAGGAGAAGGGGCCATGAATCGCTCCACCTGTGCCCTCCCCCAGCTCTGCACCTGGCATATCTCGGTGCCTGCCGGACACGGCATAGAGCTACAGTTCCACAACTTCAGCCTGGAGGCCCAGGATGAGTGCAAGTTTGACTACGTGGAGGTGTATGAGATCAGCAGCTCAGGGGCCTTCAGCCTCCTGGGCAGGTA